AGAATAGAATAGAATAGAATAGAATAGAATAGAATAGAATAGAATAGCGATGAAGAGAAGAGAAGAGAATGGAAGAGAATAGCAGAAGAGAAGAGAGAAGAGAGACTAGTATGAGGAATAGGAATAGAACAAGAATAGAACAGAATAGAAAATAGAACAGAATACAGAATAGAACAAGAAAGGAATGGAACAAAACAATAAAACAGGAATGGAATGGAGAATAGAATAAAAAAATAGAATAATACTAGCAGATAGATTTATATACCACTTCACAGTGCTTTACAGCCCACTCTAAGCGGTTTACAGAGTCAGTCTATTGCCCCCACCAATCTGGGTCCTCATTTTACTGACCTCGGAAGGATGGAAGGCTGAGTCAAACTTGAGCTGCTCAGAATCGAACTCCTGGAATGAGCAGTGAGTTAGCCTGCAGTAATGCATTCTAACCACTGCACCACTGTGTCTCTTTGTGAATATATTCAATTGTTTGTAGTATTTAAGCTAATCAGGCTTCCCCTGTAAGAGTTAACCAAAGTATGATTTTAATAACACTTTGGGACTTGGATTTTTACTGTTACAGAGGCAAGAATGACTTAACTGTTTATACATTCTACAGATAAGGTTGTAGCTGAGAAAGAGGCAATTCCAGGGTTGGTGTTATACCACAAACAATTAAAGATCCTGATGATCCGATGCAAGGTAGGTTTGTGCGTGTACACATGATATTCTTACTCCCCTTTAAGGCAGATGTGCTCCCAAAATGTGTGCTTCTCCACTTCATCTGAGAGATGAGGAAAGAGAATGCCAGTCATATGCAACATTTATTACATTTCTTTGGGTTACATTGTCCCTTGCACAACTCTTAGTATTAAACTCTTTATCAGCCCAGTCCCTGAGTCTTTTCTGGAGAGCGTCCATAGATTTTCTGACTTGCCCTTTACAAATCAAAATGTGTTTTGTATTTTTTAATTTGGAATTTAATGTCAGGATGCTGGATCCTATATTAGATTCCACCTAACCTTCTCGCCATGGAATCACTTCTGGTGAGTTTGCAGATTTTGCTAAGTGTGTGTGTGTGTTCTCTTCCTCTCTTTTCCCTTTCTAGGAAGGTTGGGTTGGAGTCAAAACTATTATACATAAAAAGAAGTTGACAGCAACCGACTTCTACAACGGCTACCTACATTCTTGGTCACAGAACAATTCTCTTACAATGCTCAAGAACTGCCGGTTTCAAACACTCAAGGTGACCACAGCCAAAAAAGAAGCCAAAAAGTTCATCAAATGTTCAGATAATAATTGCGATACAATTTCCAGTAATGTGTGAAAAACAATAACTCTGTATAAAGAGCCAAATTGGAAGCGTCCTCAGCTTGTCCCAGAATTGATCGATGGAAAACAGTGATGGGAGAAAATGAACAATGACAAGGACAGTGCTATGCAGTTGATATTGTGCAGTGGATAACACAAAGGACTAGCAACCTGGAGAGTGTGTTTATTCTTTCTGTTCAAAGCTTCAAAGCACTCTCAGCCTTGCAAGTCTGATTTTTCAGGAGCCGTACTTTCTGCTCCTGGATCCGTCTTTTTCCAACTTAAAAATACAGTGGAGCAAGATTAACTAAGTTAAGGGCCCACGTGTTGTATGATTAAACAATAAATGATTTTTGTACATGTTTGTGTAGGCGTGTCTCACAAATAGTTGCAATGGCTGATATTTTAGAATGCTGACTTGTATAACATAAATGGTACCGTGTCCAAATACCTCCTTACCGCCCTTCAGAATCCAGAATCATCAAGGTGAAAATCCAAAAATCCCCGATACGTCAACTTTATTGGAGAAAAGCTAAGAAGAATTGTAATCAGTGAGGATAGACAAGAGTAAGCGCACACAGCTGTACACAGAAGTGTTATTCAGCCCTCACCAACATCTCCTTTTGCAACTTTTTCCTACCCTATCTAATGGACTGCCCTTAGTTGCAACGGTTTTTGCAAAAGGCAGAGTTACTATTACATTGCTTTTCACTTACACCCATAGCCACTGTTGCAATGAAGCCCATCCAGTGAGAAGGGCAAACTCCTGAATGGATGGTCCTGTGCCTTCAACAACCTTTGTATATAATTAGATCTCATTTTCCACCCTTTGGTGGTGGTATGTGAGAATGACCTTGGGAGACGAGTCACTGGAACTGTCAGATAAAAGGCAGCTTAGTCCCCAGAAGGAATGGGGAGTGGCAAAAGTCTCAAAAGGGACCCTCCCTAGTATCTTGAGCCATAAAGGGGAAGGGGAAGAAACGGACTTTCAGACTTGCAAAATGGTGTGAATGTAACCTAACTATAGCAAAGTAGAATTAGTTCGTCTGGCTGGTACCTCCTTACTCTAGATTAGGAGTCTCCAAACTTGGCAACTTTTTAAGATTTTAATTTTATCTTTTAAGATTTGTGTATTGTAACCAGCCTGCCTTCAGGACCTATATATTGCACAGGTCAGAAAGAAGGTTGAGAAAATACCTACAGACCCTTCGCATCCTGGATATGAGCTGTTCCAACTCCTCCTCACATCCTTTGTGTCACCGCTATTGGGCATTGCATACCAAAACAACTAGGCACAGAGGCAGTTTGTTTTCCTCCACGCCATCCCTTTGCTGAACCTTAATTCCTAACAGAGTTAGAAGGGACCTTGGAGGTCTTCTAGTCTAACTCCCTGATCAGGGAACTCCCTGCTCAGAAAGCCTGCTGTCCCACTGCTCAGGAAATCCTATACTATTTCAGAAAATGGTTGTCCAATCTCTTCTTAAAAACTTCCAGTGTTGGAGCATTCACAACTTCTAGAGGCAAGTTGTTCCATTGATTAATCATTCTAGCTGTCAGGAAACTTCTCCTTAGTTCCAGATTGCTTTTCTCCTTGATTAGTTTCCATCCAATGTTTCTTGTCCTGCCTTCAGGTGCTTTGGAGAATAGCTTGACACCCACCCCCTTCTTTTTGGCAGCCTCTGAGATATCGGAACACGGCTATCATGCCACCCCTAGTCCTTTTCATTAAACTAGACATATCCAGTTCCAGCAACCATATGTTTTAGCCTCCAGTCTCCTAATCATCTTTGCTGCTCTTCTCTGCACTCTTTCCAGAGTCTCAATATCTTTTTTACATTGTAGTGAGCAAAACTGGATGCAGTATTCCAAGTGTGATCTTACCAAGGCATTATAAAGTGATACTAACACTTTACATGATCTTGATTTTATCCCTCTGTTAGTGCAACCTAGGATTACATTGGCTTTTTTTGGCAGCTGCAGCACACGGCTGCCTCATATTTAAATGATTGTCCACTAGGACCCCAAGACCCCTCTCATAGTTGCAAAAATTGAGCCGTGTACCATCTATACTATACCTGTGCATTTGGTTTTTCTTGTCCAAATCTAGAAAATCTTTTATCCTCATCTGTTCCACCACCTTGTCTTATTGGTATCTTTATTGTGATTATTATTACTTTGTTGTTTTGCGTGTATACAGAGCTTTGCAAAAAAAAAGGTACAGCCCCCAAGTTAAAATTTAGCAAAACGAATCTTTATCCAGCAAGCATATATTCCTTTATTTTGCGTATTCTCTCTCCCCATCCTTTCTGCTAACTTTGTATAATGTTTAATTATTTACAGAAATGCAGGCCCATAGTTATATAAATAGATTATTAATGCTTTAGCCTTTTTTTTAGAAATAGGCCAGCAATATTTTTAAACACAATATTCTAAAACTGGTGTTTCAGAACAGCAATTTTTTAATTCGGAAGGCATTTACCAATGACCTGGGCTAGGGGCCCATTTCCATTGGCAGATATGTGGCCAGGTGAAAGCACTCGCAAAGCATTTAAAAAATAGATGGAAATGTATCATCTTTAATTTTATTGCTGAATTCAAGAATTTATTTCAGGAAGTAAATCATGAATGCTGCTGTCATTCAACTAGTTAAGCCAAAAATAGCATTGTGGTTTAACATACTGTGCAAACTCAGCCAATGGTGGTTTATTTATGCAACATAAGCCCTGTTTAGCATACCGTGGATGAGAATCCAAGACCTAGAGGTGCTTTGATTCCCCAGAAATCTTGGCTTTTAATACCCCAAATGCAAAATGTCTCGATTCAATTTTACACAGCTATTATTAGCTACCAGCTGCCTATTTTTTTAAAAAAAATATAATTTAAATGCCTCCCATCTGGTACAGGTAATCCTCAACATGACCACAATCAGGGCCAGAATTTCTACTGCTAAGCAATTGAGATACACCAGATTGTGAAATACACCCGATTTTACGCCTTTTTTTTTGGTTGTTCATTGGAGTTCTTTGATGAATCATATGATCATTAAGAGAATATAGCTTCCCCGCTGGACTTTGCTTGTTGGAAGCCAGCTGGCAGGGTCACAAATGGTAATCACGTGATTTCACCCCACCCCATCCATATACTACAACCATTGTAAATACATGCCGGTTGCCAAGTGCCTGAATTTTGCTCGCACAACTCTGGGGATGCTGCTACAGTCGTAATTCAAGGAGTTTTGTTGATGCCATTGTAACTTTGAATGGCCTCTAACAAATGGCTTGCAAGTTGAGAACTGCTTGTATCTGGCAGGAAGGACCAACTTCCATGCTACTTGGGAATTAATACAATGGAAGTCAACACACCTGGATGGTACCAGATGGGAAAACCTACCTGATGCATTATTGGCCCTTTGAAGATGCTTCTTGCATTTCTCTGAGGACCTCTGAAGGCCAAGGAAACACCATGAAGCACATGTAAAGCATCACATAAGCAGAACCTTCCCATACCCCTCAAGGATTATCTAGGTTTTTTTCTTTCTTTCTTCTTTTACCTGCTTGACATTTTACTATATTTTCTTCAGATGTATTTCTTATTACACGTGTAAAATCCTTGAATAAAAGTATTGGGAAGGATGTGTGGTATCACATGGGGTCGTCTCTAGTTCATGAATTAATAGGAGGGGCGGGGATTTTCCCAGAGCTGCCCATTGAGGAGCAAGGGTACCAAAGCTTATTGGACTTTTTGAGGGGCTCTAGCTACAGGACTTTCACTTCGTTGTCTTACTCCAGTTCTTTCTCTGGAAGGGCTTGCTGGAAACCTGCTGGGCACGTTCCTTAGGGACTGGAACACGTCTTCTCGTGTGTCTCTTTCGTGACAATTGAACGTTAACGCTATGCCCACGTTGTTCTTCATAATTCTTGAAGAGCTATCAGATGTCCCATCAAAACATCGTCCCAGAGCTATTTCTTTGGCTGTCCGAGGATCTTGATCTGTCACGGTATAGATCCCATAGTTGTGACCAAGCGGATCGAGAGGAGCCAACATCGTATATTGGCTGGAGTCATTGTTCACCGCCACCGGGAGGTGGTTTACCAGATAGTCGTGCAACATATTGTTCACGCTCTCCCTGTAACAGCTGCCCTGGGGGATAATCTTCACCAGCGTCCGATCAACGCGTTCTTGGTCATACAACATGCCACTGCACTTGAACTCTAGGCACGCCGTTGAAAGGTTAGGGTGGCCCGTAGCACGGATGCTCCTCACGTCTCTAATGCCATACAACTGGCCGACAGTCCGTGGATGGGTGCCCCCTGTGTTGCGAGATCTCACAATCAATTCCAGGGGCCCGTTGATCCTCACTTTAATATAGCATGCCCTGAATTCCATTGGCTTGGGCCACCAAGCCAAGTAGTCTTCCGTCCAGTTCATAGGGTCATCCTCGTTAAAAGGAATGGTGTTGTAGTCATATTTGTCTCCTTCTACTCTGTAAAACCTGAAGTGAGCGGCGGAGGGGAGAGCAACTTCACACGCATGTAGCTTTTCATAAGGATATATGGGACCGTTGCTCTCGTCAGCCATGTTGGGTGTAGGCTTGGCCACGCTGATCCTGAAGGCCGTTTTCTTCACATTGGGATCCAGGTGATCTGTTCTCCTGTACTTGAGCTTGTTGAGGTATGGTTGTGGCACTCCCACGGTAAAAGGGTTAAGCTGAGGGGAGGAGGCAACTGCTTCAAGTTCTTCTCCACCAAGACTAGCCATGACGTAGGCACTGTAGGCATCTGGATTTTGGTCATCGCAGAAAGCTGGGACGCAAACGCCACTGGAGCCAGTGACAGCACTATCAAAGCGCCCCCAAGCTCTAGGGTTGGTAGCATATCCTGGGCTTGGTTCTAAGTTGATGACAGAAACAACCACACCTGCAACCTGTTCACTGGGCATGTATCTCTCGCTTCGGTAAGCACGTACCTTGATGTAGCACCGTCTGTTTTCAGGGACGTCCAAGTTGAACAGCCTCCTTTCTCGTATCTCCATGTTGCCCACCAGAAATGTCCTCTCCTCTCGCTTTCCACGCCTGCTGTGGTCCAGCTCAAAATCCCCTTCTTCCTCCCACAAACCAGTTTGTGGATTCAGAGACCAAAGTTTCATCCCTTGCAGATGTTCCGACATTTTGATCTGAGCGGAGTCCAGGTGGACCTTCACTTGGCCCACGTTGAGCGATTCGGTGGCCATTTCGTCCGTGAAATCCATCGAAAACATGCCGTATGTCCTCAGAGGGAGCATGTCCCCTTCGGCATCTACAAAATTCAAGTCAGACTGTGCCATGGTTGCACCGGAGACATTTCTGGGGTCAAGGAAAGTCACACTGGCTTTCACTTTCCCTGCGTAGAGTTCACCATTCAGTCGGTAAAATGTATTGGGTGGGATTTCAAGTTCAGCTATCGGATCTTCTCCCTCCATTTCTCCCAAGGAAATCCTGTTGGTCTCCGTGGATTCCAGTGTGATCGGTGGCTTTTTCCTTAACATCCTGACCTCATGGAACACGGCCCCACCATTTCTGTTGAATGGCAACACTTTGGTGGTGTTTACAAACTTCTGCAGGCGATCCACAAAGGTGAGAACCAGTCTTTCGGTGTCTGGGGGCACTTGCACAGAAAAAGTGCCCTTGTAGCCCGTCATGCTGATCCTGTTGTTTCCCATATAGATGTGACCAAACCTCATGGGTTCTCCCGTATCAGATGCCACAGCTCTTCCTCGCACAGTGACTTTGACCTCAGTGCACTTCTGGCAGGCGCACTCCCTGGCGACCTTGATGGGAAGTGTGTAGCCGGCACATGTTATATCCCATGTTTCCATCTTGGAGACCCCACAGCAGTAAGTTATGGTGTCCTTGCACCAGAATCCTTCCCGTAACGTTCCGGAGCATGTAGTAGGTGAACATCTACCAACGTCGTAGTAGAAAGAATTGGTTGAGTTCTGAAAGCAATCGTGGGGCAGTCGGATAAGATAACTCTCGGGCCTAG